CGGACGCGCGAGCGCGCCATATTGCATTTGGATTCATAGGCCGCGCGCTTTCTGCATTCCCAGACGGCGGCTCTTGTTTCACGCTAGTCATGCGTGCGCGGTGCCGGCTTTATTTATGTCGTTCGAGGAGTTTTTCGGCGACCGGGATGCAATTCGTTTCGGATCAAACGAGAGAGCGCGGCCGCGAAGAATTTTTACGAGTTCTCCCGTGCGTCTCGAGGGATTGATAAGGTTCCATGAACTTTGATCGACGACGGAAATCCTCCCGGCGACGAATCGTTCGAGCCGAACATCTCGCAATCGTTCACCCCCTGTCGTTCTCCTGTCTTCGCTCTATTTCCGTGCACGAGGAAACGGCTGGCAGTGATTTACGGGCTTGGTAATTGAAACCGACAAGGTATATACCGTGTCATGTATGGGGAAGGAAGGGTTCGTCGCGGAAGAGGTTCCCTAGTTTACGCTGTCGGTTTGGGGAACGTCGGGGCTGGCGTTAACGACGCCCTGTCACCGATACGCTCCGGGAACTGGAACTCTCACGGGCAAATATTTGAGTTTCCCTTTAAACCGTCCCGGCCTGGTCATCGGCATTCTCCTGTCTGTCTCGGCAAATGTTATCTTAATCGGTTGTCGTCTTACTTGGAAACGGTCGTTCGACGCGTACCATTTAGACACGAAGGAAAATAGAGGACACCGCGCGTCGCGCTATTCTACAATCGTCAATTTAGCATATTCATCGATGTTCGGCTAATAAAGAACCTCAGTTCATTCTCTGTCTTCAGAGGATACATCGCAGGTTTTATTGAACGTAATCTCGTACGTCTGATCAGTCGTTAGCTCGCACTCGACGCGAAAAGCCATTCCATTCGCGAGGCGTGTCGCTGCATCGCTGTCTCTGCTCGCTGGAGGGGCTAAGGGGATGCATCGATGTTCCGCGGTTAATTAGAATGATCAGAGGCGGACGATACACGCTCGAATCGCCAGGGACTTTAAAGCGACCGAGCCGACAGGCGTTTCCAGCATATTGGAATGTCCCCGGCTTGCGCTCGACGAGAGAAAAAGCTGCTGGCGAGCGTTTAGAGCCTCGCGAAACGCTACGAGCGTCTATTACGCGGGTCATAAAGGCGCGCGCGGATTGACGCTCGCGTAAAGCAGCGACTCCCTGAAAAGAGCGCGCGGCGGAAGGCGGTTGTTAACCCTTCGATGCTCCTCCGACGGTACTTTGCCGCTCTCGCGCACGTGAAATCGAAAACGCAGACCTCCCTTTCGACGAGCCAGCCGGTTGCTCGGTCGGTCGGGCTCCCGTGGAAGACACGCGCGTGCCGGACACGTGTTCGCGTCACCCGGCAGCCCCGATATTTTTCCGCCCCCCTTCCGCCGCTAATGCCACCGATTGCCAGCACGGGCGCTCTTCTCCTCTCTTCTTTTTTGTACGCGCTGCTCGCCAGCTTTCCAGCATTGGACGATTCATTGTCCAGTTCTCCTTTGTTGGATTCGTGAAAGGGTACCATTTACTTGGAAGATTAGGGGATTTAGGAGAGGAAATTTATGGTTAGGGGATGAAAGCGTGTCCGCCGTTCGGAATACTCCTGCTGGCTTATTCTTCCAAGCTGTTCTGTGAGAAACATTCGAACAGTTCGGAGTCACTTTAGCGGGACTGTCGATTAGACTAGCTTCGTTAAGGGATGAACAAAGAAAATATGTATTTCGATGAATTCGTGTCTCGGGGACTTCGCGAAATCCCGATGAAACTCGATGGCAACTCAATCCTGACGCGGTCGGACTGCAATTCAACAAAATTTAGACAGGAAAAAATACACAAACGTTCGAGGAACCCCCTGATTCCCTGGCGCTGCGAGGAATGAGCGGTGCGCGAAGGGGAGGTCGCGGAGAGGAAGCGAGCGAGCGTGTGCTTTCGTGTGGTTTTTTGAGTGCTCCCGAAATATCCTCGTGCCCTCGGCACCACGGGGAGAGATAAAGAGGGAGGACAGAGAGGGAGAGAGCGCGGCCGTGGCGTAGACGAGAGAGAGACGAGATGGGAATGCCAGTCTTCGGTAACTAGTCATCCTAGCAGCGTGGGCTTCGCGAGTTCTTGTCGCCGGTGACAAAGGTCGCCGGGAGAAAGAAGAGGAGAGTCTTTGTGCGGGCCGGTCGAGGCCGACACGTGCTCTTCGACGCGCGTACGTCCCGCGGGAATCGCGGATTTCAATCTCCTGCGTCACTCGATCGAAATATTCAACGGGAATCCGGGAAATTTGTGATCGGCGAGGCTCGAGGTGGAACGTTTTACATCGCTTCGAGTCCTACGGGTTGAATAGAACTCGCGTCGGACCGTTTCCCATTCCGAGGAGAACCGGTGATCGAATGAATGCACCCAACAGCGACGCGAATCGATAGAAACGCGAGCGATTTGGCTATCATCCTCGGAGTAATATTCTCGAGTGGTGGACGACGAAAGGCGGAGTCGATGCTCCTCGCCTGGGACTAGGATTATTCCAAGGATGCCTTTGAAGATCGAGAGTGGCACCTACACGGTGAACCCGGTGGCTAAAAAGAACCTCTCGAAGTTTCTGCTTTGGAAACACTGGCGTAGGAGGTACGCTGGTTGTTTGTGTGGATTGATCGTCGACGATACGTTTATAGCACCTTCCATTTTTCTCTCTTTGTTTTATTATAATATCCTTGATCGTATTGGGATTCTTCTCTTCGCTTTCGTCTCGATCGTAAATTTCACAGCTGCCCCGTGCACGTGTTTCCGATCGATTTATTCCTCTGTCGTTTCGCAATTAATTTACCATGAAATCTGCGTATTCTCGTGGATGCAACGTGCTGTTTGTATCGCGAATGATTTCACTGGTCCTCGAGAGGGTATCTATTTTCCCCCGCGACGGTTTCCAGCGCGGCTCGTCATTAAACGCCCAGTTAATGACGTTCAATTGGTACTCAGGAGCGCTGCGATAACATTTGACCACAATATCGCGATCCCGCGGACACGCAACCATCGGGCCACTCGCGCTGACATTTTCCAGAGGTCCCTCGCGTCATACATTCCCACGCGTGTGCGTTCACGCCGATCGTCGGCGCGATCGCGATCTAGCATGATTCCGATCACCTTGCACTCTCTTCTCATACCACCAGCTTGGTTGCACGCAACGCCCATTATTTCATCCGTAACACCCGCGAAACGGAGGAATCAGCACCAGACTGCACCTTGCATCGCGGATTAATTGAACCTTGCAAGACGAACACTGTGAAAATCTCAAAATTGGCACGGAAAAACTGTACGTTCGGAACGTGTGATTGTACGATACGAAGTGTGTAATTAACAATCTAATTGGAATGGCGCTACCGCTCGCGGGAAGTCCTAATTATCGAGCTGCGAGTCGTACGCACATACGGGGTATTCCTTCTTTTACCGGAATATATAAAATTGTACAAACTTAGCGCGTATAGCGACGCCCGAAGGGGTCATTCCAGCATTAATGTCCTATTAATGTGAAAATGACTGCTTCGTTTTGTTCGTTCCGCAGTCGACGATTAATTTTTACGAGGGACTTCCATCGAGAGGTAGCCACGATCGGAAACTGCAAGTAAAATAATCACTGCGTGGCTCGTGTAACAAACTGTAGCTCTCCGAGTGCTCGAGGAGCTCTCGCTGGAATCCAAATAATTGCCCGAGCACTCGGACAGCCGTACTAACACACCGTTCGTGGAAAATTGTAAATTGTCCGACTGTGATTGTGAACGATTAATACTTCTCGGATGGGATAGGTTTTGATCGATCAGCTCGACGACAATACCGATTCCTTACGGCGCACGAAATCACCTCACGTCCCCATAATGCATGCGATTAGATTGTTGAGGAAGAGAGTGAGCTGCACTGGACCGATGCACCGGCTTGCACGCTGCCTTATGATCGCGCGCAGCCGACTCGAACCTGCCGCGAGCCCGCTCCCACGATCAGTTCAAACACGCAACAATTGTTCGAAGTGATCAGGGGGCAGGCAATTAGAAATCGACTGCGAGCAGCGGCACGTGAAGCGTTCCCTTCGGGAACCCGGGTCTCGTAAATGACTCGAGCAATCTCGTTATCGCCGCCGCTCGCAGCCACGTCGAGGCCCTGCAACACTTCCGCGAAGAAGATGGAGACCATGGAAGCTCGCGCTGTACAATAACAGACCGGCGAATTTATTACGTCCGACTGATCCGCGCTGCGATCGTAAAATTAGACCCTCGGAGGAAGGGATAGATCAACGGTTGCACGCTTTTCAAGCCCGCGAGCCGCTTTTGTTCCGCGATTCGCGGTGAAACAAGTGTTTGCGCAGTCATCGTGCCGGTCGCTCGTGCCGCGGTTAAGCTCTCGTGGGTTCACAGCCTCGGGGCGAGTTTCTACGAGGGATACGCGAGGTGTTTCGCACGATTTTCCACTGGGTTACGTTCATTCGATTCGAGCGAAACGAGCGAGGTTTCTTTTAAAAGTGCTAATCGGTATGAAAAACGGGTTTCTCGTCTGAACTTTTATCAAGAGCGCAACGGGGGATCATTACAAAGTAACGTGAAAGTAGACGCGGTAATATCGACCGGGCCTGAACACAGCGCTGGCTTCCAATTAATGTCCGCGATGCTCTCGAGTCGGATCGCAAGAAATTAATTCATCGCGAGTTTCTGTCGCCGAGGAGAAACAAAACCCGCCGGTACCTGTCTCGGGCTCCGCGTTGATTCGTTCCGCTTTCCCTCGCGAGTCGAGCCCCGGTTCGCGTATCGTCGATCGTTTGTCTCGATCGAGGAGACAAACGATCGGCGTGTCGTTACGCTCGCCTGTGAAACTCGAGAGCGCCGTGAATGTTACGGAAAGGGATCCTCGGCGCGGGTGTCAAGGATGATGGACGTCTCGTTGCCGAGACGGGGTCCATCGTTTTTGTCACGGGAACGGATCAGGGAGGTGAAAGTTAGAGAAACGAAGAGAGCAAAAGACGCGGAACAAAAGAAACGAACATCAACAGTGTGCACGAGGACCGCGGTGAGGAGGATCGTCGGCGAGCCAGCGGGCAAACGCGCGGTGGCGGCGAGGTAGCGGGCTTGGAGGACGTCGGCGACTCTTGCGCCGCGACGCTGACGCCGTCGGTCCCAGGCGCCGGCGGCATCAGGTCGAATCGCCGCACGAGGCCGCTGTCCCTCGCGGTGCAACCTCTTAATTACCGCCGCCTCGATCCGGACCCGAAAATCATCGACGGCATCGTCACCAGCCATCATCCTAACATGACTAGCCAGGAGAGCATCGGCAGCTGCAGCCTGGACGTCGACCAGTCTGCGTCCGACCGATCAGGTTGGCTATTCATCGATGTCTAGCGTTTTCCAGGCATTACACTCTAGGACCGACCAATTAGAAAGTAATTCAGGGACTTGAAGCTTTCGAGCGACAAGCTTTATCCTCTCGGAAATTGTTTTGATCGTTTTCCAAAAGATCTACGGAATTGATGATTGAAAGTGTCGTGATACTAGATGAAATTATATACCAGGTATCGAGACGATAAAGCTTGTGCCTGAAAGACTCGGCAATGAGAAGAGAAGAAGGATGTCGGTAGTTTGTATTTTAATACACAAGGAGCTGCAACGTTTCCTGCCTCGAGGCAGCGTAACGAAGAAAACGGCAGGCGGCCCAAAAGGAGCATCAGGAATCGGTGTTTCGAGAGCGATCATTTGATATTTCCGGTGGTCGTCATCGGCTGACCTTGCACTTGACCCGGCGGAGGCCGCGTTCACCAGGCTCTCGATCTTGGACGGTCCAAGGTCGCGGGATCCCTCCACCGTCCTGCCGCGTGGACCGTTCCTTTTTCCGCGGCGCCGCGGTGACGATCGAATTTAGATCGCGAGCGAGCGCAGCAAGTGCAGGGGGCAGAGAGTTTCTTTTCTATCGCCGGTGCCAAGAAGACGAGGAGACGCGTTTGTCTCTTTCGCGACGCGACACGGCCGGCCTCTTGCCATTCCAGGGTTATTCCTGTGTCGCGTTTCGCACGGGCACGTTTCGATCTACTCCGCCGCTTCTCCCGGCCGTAACACTCTCGATTTTTCGCCGTGAGACACCGCCGTTCGCCGTTCCTCTGTACGGTGTTTCCATGGGATTTTCGGCGAACGAGGCCATTTCGTCCCGGAATCCGGGTCACTCGGCCAGAGGAGCGCGCCGTTGAAGAGTCCGTGAATGCGAGAAGTGTAAGTGCCGCGAAGGTCGCAGTCATCGTTGCGTGCTGTCGAGCAAATTTCCAAACATTCGAGGGTCCAGGTGTGGAGAATCGAATCCGGAGAGTTTACAGGATAAAGAATAAGCGTCGTCGATCGTCGGAGCCCCATTGTCCGAGACCAATCGAGGATTTTCCTTTGCAGAGAACACCATAGACTCCGTGTCCAAGAAGACCTTGCACAGTTTGAACCTCTCCTGCAACGGTGACTCGGTTCCCTCGTCCGATAATCTGGCGAACGGTAGCAGCGAGACGCTGCAGAAATCGCACCTGACGCCCGATGAGAAATTGAACGTCAGCAATGGTCATCGAAGCAGCCCAGAGCCGGAACAGCTGACAGTGAAGAAACCGAGCTACTTGGGCCTGGCCTGCAGCATCAGCGGTTATTCGGGGATCAATCGGTACGATAGCAAGCTGAGGGACGGGTTTCGATCGAGGGACAGCAGTCCTGGGACCAGGCTGATCACGAGGGATACCAGCCCGGCGGGTTTCAGGTAAAGGTCGTCTTTATCTTCCGTCATCGAGTGTCTTAATCTTCGTCCCAACGTTGTCCGAGAAGCTCGGAGCGTGCGGTATTACACTCTAAAATCTAAGCTTCGTTACATTTTATTTCCAACATTAAAGAGACTGTTAGAATCTCAAACATCCAGTGCGCAGTAAATACAGAAACCCTGCAGTTCAATTCCAAACAGTTTTTAAAGCGTTACTTACAAAGTCTGAAGAGCCGCAACAGAAAAGATCAAAGGCTTAAACCCTTCTAGATCAAACGAAAATCTCAACGTGCCAGGGCACCCTTATCCGCCCAAGAGTCAGTCGATTTCGCCCCTAGCGATGGATAGGCAGAACGGTTTCTCGAACGGTCTGAAAGAGGAGTGCAAAGTGGAGGCGTACAGGGAGTCTCGGAGCTCCATCAGCATATGCCAGGGTTACTCGGAGGTGGATAAAGGCGTGTTGCACTCGACGTTCGGCGATCTCAGTCCAATTCGACCGAACACCCCCGCGAAACGCAGTCCGGGCGTGTCGCAGATAATGTCCTGCAGCCAGCAGAACAAATCGTTCCCCTCGCATTTCTCGGGATCGTCTCCGAAGCAAACCACCGCGAACAGTAAGTGTCTAAGTTGGTCTAGCTGTTGGACTCGGTTTCGAGAATCCGCGACTTTTTTTTGTAGTTTCGAGCGCCTCGTTCAGCGAAACGAGTATACTGAACGGGTCCTCGGTGGACGTGGACAGTCAGGTGCTGAATACCTCGTCGAGCAGCGAGAAGTCTTTCATTCAACAGCGAGTGGAACGGCTCTACGGGCCCGGGGCCTTAGCCCAGGGCTTCTTCTTCAAGCGCAGCACCAGCAGACTGAACGCGAGCGAAAGCAGTTTCAGTAAATCGAGTAACAACAACGACGTGTCGGCGGACAACGCGAACACCGAGGAATCATTGAAGAATCTTCCGGTCTTGAGACACTTGAGACCGGAATTCCGTGCTCAGCTTCCGGTGGTCAGCCCTAGAAGACCCACGGACGGCTCGGAGCAGATTTTGAAGCCCTTGCAGAGGTAAAGTTATCTTGGACAATTGAACATAGTTCGTCGGGTGAGTATAAGGTCTCTATTCTCTCGATGATGATTCCAGGGTAACTCCAGTGTCGAGGAAGGCGGAGCAGAAACCAAAAACCCAGACGCCGTCGAAGTTGGATGGCAGTATCGCGGAGAGCAAGCCTCAGAAATTAAGTTCTAGTGTAGCGAGCATTCCTGACCAGCAGCCAGCTGCACCCAAGGTAGTCTTACCTGTACTGGAACCGAGCGCCAGCTCGACGAACGTGGCGAAGCAGGCTCAAGAGGCTGAGAAAGCGGAAGAGAAGGATGGACACTACTTCATGAAGGTACGGTACCAGCGGCAGGATATGGGGATCGATTGGTTGACGGTCCTTTGAAAACGGTTTCAGTTGCTGAAACAAGAGACGGACAGGCTTCTCTCGTTAGCTGCGTCAGCGGAAGCGGAGCTGGTCAGCGGCGATACTGTTGCACTTCCGGAGGAGGCAGCCGGTAAGCTACGCTCAGCCGCTGGCAAGGCCAGGTTGCTCGCGTCGCAGAAGATGCAACAGTTCGAGGGCCTGTGCCAGAAGAACATTGTAAGTGTGCGACACAATGCAACGAGGCATAACAGTTATTTTAGTGGACGTGTATTTGATATTGCAGTTTAACTTTAACATTTCTGTTTATTTCAAATTCACATGTTAATCGATGCGAGACACCGTAATTATATTTCCGTGTGCTCGTCTCTTTGTTATAGAATCAAGTGCCCGGCGAAGAGTTCCCGACGACGAACGAGGATTTAGCCGGTTTCTGGGACATGGTGATGCTGCAGGTGGTTCAAGTAAACGATCTTTTCGATCAGATCGAGAAATTACGAAATTCCCAGTGGCAGGAGGTATGTTTTGTTTCTGTTAACCCCCTCCCGACATGCTTGAATGATATCCCACGGAAACATTCCAAAGGAAAATCTTATCCGAAGAAGAATCCTAATCAAATGAAGTCTAATAAATATCCTGACCCACCTCCGCAAGTCGTTCCCGATAAACACGTTCGATTCGATGACGCAAGAATCAACAGGCCGAGAGAAACTATCCGTTCGAATGAGAACCCGTTTGGTGCATCGGAAAAATGTCCCTTCGAGATGCAATTGTGCGACGATGCGTTCGGAATCCTAACCGATTCGCAAAATTTAGACTTTAGATTTCGCGAGGCGGATTGCGGGGGTTATCAGCCATATTCCTTCGAAAGGGAAATTGAAACCGAACTGCCGGGAAGAGATGCAGAGTACATCGTTAATTACGTGAACGTGCAACAATTTCCGTTCCACGATCCGCGTCGCATATCGTACAGTTTACTTTCCCCTGAAAGCTTCTTTAGGAAAGATGTCCCCGAGCAGTCTCTGGAAAAAGAGTTTTCAAAATTCGAGGTTCTATTTAGAAAGGATATAAGTGAGTCTGATCAGTCTGATCTAACGAAAGAAATTCCAATTAAATTTTTGGATAGAGAACCACAGCCAGTGGAGGCTAATGTTCCGGATGAAGCTGTGAAGGATGAGAAGTATAACAAAGCGTATTTTTATGATTTAATACCTCCCAATGACGACAATTTGCCAATCGATAGAAAAAGTGTGAATGTTCGATTGAAAGCTAAGTCTTCTAGTCCTATCGGGAGAGCTTTGAATCGAGAAGCAATAATGAAGGATCGTAGGAGGACAAGATCGCGTACCCCTTCGAACAGACACCCTAAACATCACCCAGTAAAATCATCTACTAACGATCAGTTTAAACCTCGAAGTCCCAGAACAGCTTGTCTTGAAAAACAATCGCATAAAAAGTCTGTTCTTCCTGTGCAAAGTGCCAATCCGTCTGGTAAATATCGTTCATTAACACCACCAGTCGTACAAACTAATGTCAAACATGTACAAAGCATTAAAAAGCTTAGTCGCAGTGCTACGTTCACAGAGAGCACTACGCAGTCGACGAAATCGTGCAAAGGAGGTTTATTAAACCATGAAACGAAGTTCGGTACGTCCGTGAAACGCGAAACTAAGTTGCCGGATAATTCAAAAAAGAAAGTACCTTCATCGGTACCTAGAACTATCGAGAAACCTTCGTCTATTAAGCCAAGAAAGCCCCAGATTCTTAACACTAGAGACAATCGTAACAGAAACGCCTCGAAAACTGTGGAAAATGATACTCGCATGCGCAATCTCTCCATCGTGAGTGAAGTCTGGTCGAACATAGATTCTCTGAACAATAAATTCAAGTGTCGCGGGAGATCGAATTCGGTTCAAGAGTATTGTAGCTTCATGGGGTCAGAGACCAAGAAGAGGAAGAATCAAGGGAAGATTCTATCGAAAAAGGTCGAAGAGCAAGTGAAAGATGTGTCGAAAAAGGTCGAAGAGGAAGTGAAAGATTCATCGAAAAAGGTTGAACAGACAACAAAAGACCCACCAAAGAAGATTGAACAAAAATCAAGGGACCCGCTAAAGATAGCTGAACAAAAAGTGAAAGATCCTCTGAAAAAAGTTGAACAGACAACAAAGGATCTCCCGAAGAAGATTGAACAAAAATCAAGGGACCCGCTAAAGATAGCCGAACAAAAAGTGAAAGATCCTCCGAAAAAAGTTGAGCAGAAGACAATAGAAGCAGTAAGAAACGAAGAACAGGAACAAAAGGATCCACCGAAAGCGGTAGAACAAAGAGCAGAAGATTCCGATGTTTCTGAGAGCATAGCTTGGAAGCTCAGCGACTCGAAGCCCTTCATCCCGCTGAACCATGAAACTCTGCGACAATTGCGGCAAGTGTACAACGGCCAGAGTCACGCGATCTCATGTTCGGCCGTGGATAGATCGGAAAAACTGGAGCGAATGAAGGTGTACGATAAAAAGAGGAAGAGGATAATCAGAGGTTGCGAAGACGAGCCGCTGAAGAAACTCGTTTCTCGCGGGACCAAGCCGTCTCTCTCCGAGGAAGATATCTCCAGGCAATCGCTGAAATTAGACACTCAAGACCTTTATTGCTTCAACATATGCGACACCTTGACTATCAACGAGATCACCAGTTCCATAAAGGATCTCTCCGTGCAGACGTCGCTCGTACCATGCGCGACGGACGCGAATAATCAGTCACAACTCCTTATAAGCAACATCGCGGATAATGTTGCTGAGTGGACCAACAAGAACCCAGAGGTAGAAGACATCTTATCAGCGTTGATGGCTTTCGAATCGAATAATCCCGCGATCATTGCTCGAGTCCCGGAGAAGAGTAATTCCAGCCTGGGGAATCATCTGAATATAAAGAGGTTCAGCTACGGTTTGATCACAAAGAGCTCCGCACTGAATGCGAACGTGATTCTCGACATTTCCCATCACGTGCACTCGGACTTCACGATTCGCCCTCTCTATTCAAAGAAAACCGGCAAGAATATCGAACCCTTCAATCTGAACGAGTACCTTCCTTTGAAAAGGCAGTTCAAAGCGTCTCTAGAGAACTCGAATCCCATTGGTCTAAGCGACTTCGACGCGCACTCGAAATCAGATCCCACCGCGTTCTCCGACAAACTGAAACAAACGTTAAGGTTTGTGAAACTAAACCGCACCCTCTGTAGGTTGTCTCTGTATTTGTACGTGTACGGTCTCCTCAGTATTCTCCTGATCTTCTTGAAAGTCACTTCGAGCGACTCCTCCCTAAGCCCGAGGCTTCTGTACAATTATTAAACTTGTCCGCGAACCACTAATTCGATGTATCTCGCATTTGTCCAATAAAATCGTCCCTCATCCTATCCACTGTTCCTCTTCGTGCTTGCGAGAGTGAATGCGAACGAAGACAGAAGAACCGAGTGTATGAAGACGGACGAATATCCTCGGAAGATTCATAGGTTCCTATTTAACTGTAAATCATTTCTAGACCGTGCCGGAGAAGAAGTCGTCGAGCACCGGGCCGCAGAACGGCAGCGCGACGAAGCGTCGCGTGACGCCGATCCACAAGCCGAAAGCGACGGCGAACAGCGAGGCGAACAAGAAGGCGAGAGAGGCGAGAGAGCAGGCGCGCAGGCAGCTGATCGAAGAACGAAGGCGGGCGATGCGCTCCAACGCGCAGAATTCCGAGAATACCGTGAAGATCTTTGCCCCGGACACGTAACGATAAAAAGACACCACCAGCCGGATACCTCTCGGCCGATGATCGGTAGCGCGGCGTGTCCTGAATCAAATCAAAAAAACGCGCTCTAATCTCTGATGCATTTTCGCGAACGCTTAAAATCGATCCGTCGGAAGCCGTCGCGCGGTTCCCCGGGGGTATTCCGTGGCGTCGTGCACGGCCCGTCGACGATCCTCGGGATCGCCGGCTGAGGCTCGCGGGTTGCGAAACGCGCGTGCACGCCCACGCGTGAGGTTTCCTCGTTACGTAAAGGCAACAGGGAACCGCGCGTCGGAGTCGCAAAGGAAAATACCGATATTAATGCTTCGACTACAATCAAACACGCTTCACAGGGTCGAGAGCATGTTCGTTGCCTAACAGCGGAAACACCACGGAACGCGATCGGAACCATGTGTTTTTGTTCTATATATAGATATATATATATATATATTATATACATATGTATATTGGATTGGTTAGAGAATTCTCGAACGGAGCCCACGGATTCTTCGAGATCGGACCGTGTTCATTTTCGAGCCGATCTTAACGGCTATTCGTATTTTCTTATTAAGCTCTACACAAAAACACTCGCCCAGAGACACGCGTACACAGAACACACACACACGTTTACATACGACACGTTCGTCTCCCTACACTCGATTACACACGCTGTGATGTTTCGTGCTAATCTTCTTGTTACGTTTTTTATATCGATTTACGCTATCGTTCGACTTTGTACGGTATTTAATGTTTGGTTCCGCCCTCTGGAACGGGATGCCGGGTCTAGCTTCTCCGTTTCGTCGTTCCCATCCGCGAGTTGGGTAACGGGGAAATCGCCGCGGTGAAACGGCACGGAGACAGACTGCCTCTTGTCAATAGAAATTTTTTATAACGACGCAGAGGAGAGACAGCGCCAGCAGAATCACAATTCAGAGCAACTTATATATATATTTGTACGGTAGATTGATCGCGTAGAGGAAAGCTGATCGACGACGATCGCGAGCGGAATTCTGGACCGACGGGATCCGTCGCCTCTCGAGATTCCGTCAGCGTTTTCGAAGCGTCCGGCCTGCGACGGGTCGCGTCGCGTAGCCTACATTAATTACTGTTAGCGATAGGGCGCGCGCCTAAGCCGATCAGCGAAACGATCGCGATCGGGAACGGAAAGATTCCTATTACTTTAATTGCCCGCGTCGCCTAAATATTACTCTCTCGTTTGAACCCCGAGGCGAATTCACCGGAGACTTTTCGCGAGGGGCGATGTATCGATGCTTTCGGGAGTCCTAGATCGTGCGTGACCAAGTCGACATTCCCGTAGAGAGACGGTCTCGGAGTACGCCCTCGACGTGTAGCGGTTAGTTTCGTCTCCCCTTCGACCCGATTATGTTTAAGGAATAGGTAGACAGGTGTCAGCAGGTGTGATTAGAGCTCGTGTAACCAAATAACAGGTGCCGGCTGATCAGTGATCGGTGGAGAGGCCGGTCGCGTCCGTGTTCCGGAGTTGGGCAAAATGTAATCTAGTCGAGTATCGGGACTAACGTTATTCATGTGCAACGTCTTATTCAACTGCAAGCGATTCGTAACTGTCGGTCGATGTTCACGGTAGCGAATTTCAAGTTTAGACTAGCGTCGATTGAGGATTAGAGGATTCTAACTTGTAATCTGGCCGGTTAATCTATTCGAAATGATCGAATTACATTCTGCCGAACTCTGCCGTGTTCCCGTGCGCGTTTCGAAGAGTCCTCGCGGCGTCGTGTTCCGGCGGCCCGCGTTATTTATTGACTGTTGATTCCCTCGGTGCCTTGATTAATTTATACGCGTGTACATAAATCGACTGACATACACACATACACACAGAGTCGGCCATTCGACGCGACGCGAGACGAGCGGCGTCGATGAACGAGAATGACGGATTCTGGCCGCTTCAGTGGGCTTTCTTTCTTTGTCTCGGCCTGACTCATTCATCTGGGAGCAAGGAGTAGTTCTTTATTCTGATTTTCAATCCTGTGAAGGTTTCGCGACGAAGCGTATTAGCGTCCTCTCGTTACGCGCTGCAACGGCGAACCTAATTCGCGACAGGAGATGGGCGAGAATTTCGTTGGCGGTAGATTTCTCACGTGATTATTTATTGAGTGACTTAGTCTTTGCTTAGAGTAAACGATGCGACGTCCTTCCTTTTTTCTTTTAACTTTGAATTTGTTTTATCCGAGTGAACGCGTCGCCCATCTCACGACGATGAAAGCTTTGTCACGGTCGAGCGGACAGCGATCGGCTTCTGTTTAGTTTTCTTTGTAGCGAGCGTGCGCCGCGAGCGATTGTACATAAGCGTGAGAGAATGCGTGGCTGGGAGAAGCGAAGTAATCCGCGTGATCTACAGATATCGTGAATCGGCCAGCAGCGCTCGATTTTATTCTCGTTTCGTTCCCGAGTTTCGTAAACCCCGTTCGCCCGAGTTGCCTCCCTTCGTGTATTTTCATTGTATATTCCGCATTGAAAGCCTCGATTTGAGCTGAACAAGTAATTTATACTCGGAACAGTTCCCCGCTGGTTTTTCCTCGGAAGCCGCGCGACGCCGAACAGATTCTGAACAGATCGGAAGGTGTACGAGGATGTAATCGCCATGACCACACGATCACTATTCCTTTCGCCGTTCTCCTCTTCTCGATTCCCGTAAAAAGGAACACGCAAACTTGTCGGAATCGTTCACTTTTTTTATTATTCGAGAAGGATGAAGAAGAAGAAGAAGAAGAAGAAGAAGAAGTAGAAGAAGAAGAAGGTCTCCTTCCGGAATAGACGACAAGAATCGACGATTTTTTTACTTATCGTTCGGGGACGATTCGATGCCAATCAATCGCGCCGATGTCATCGAACCCGTTCCCGGCTCCCCTTTTTTTACGCGGTTAAACAGTTACGATTATTTATTTATTAGATACTAGTAAGATGTCCATACACTTGTTCTCAATGAATTAATAAAAAAGAGAAAAAACAAACGAAACTGTGAAACTTCACACGGCGAACCCGGACGACCGAGGATCGAAGGAGAAAGAAGACAAACGGTTCTCCGTAGTCGTGGCTTATTTACTAAGAAAATTAATTATGTGTACAGCGTTTCGTAAAAACAGATTATGAGAATGATCGGTAGCAGGGCACCGGGCAGTAATGATTGTTTCTGCGAGTCTGGTTTCGGAAGTTGGCACTGAAGAGTCGCTTTCGCGATGAGTTTCACGATCGAGAGTCGGGTTCAGTGACCTCGTGGCAAAGGTCGTCGACCCACTGCTTGCTCGGTAAGTCTGGCGCTTAATCCCGCGACGAATTTCCTCCGTTTCCTCTCACGTGCTCGGTGAAAAAGAGGAAATCGTCCGCTACCCGAGTCGTTTTTCCGTTTCCTGGGGGAATAGGAATATCCCCGGTTCACGCGAGACAGATCAACGTTTTGCCCTCATTCATCTTGTCCTGGACTTTATCGCTGGCTGTGGATTTCTCCGCTTGGCCGCTGATCACAGCGCAGACGAAGGTGAGTCCTACCCCCGTCACTGCACTGTAGAACGCCCAACCTGGAATACGTTCAACTTAAGACCTTTGTGCTTCCGTCAAGGGCTCTTTGAGCATCATCATTCGTTCCGCTCGATTTTTATTCGAGGACGTGACGAATGACGGCTGGTCTTACCGAGGGTGCAATCAGCCAGATAAAAAGCGTCTGCCTCGGGTCCGCAGATCCTTTGAACTCTTTCCGCTCCCCAGCCGGCGGGATAGAGAATCATTCCCAGTAGGTACGATATTCCTATCAACCGGGAAACTCGGTAAAAACTCTGACGATCGGAATCGTGAATAGCGTTAGCTACCGTTGCAGCTGATTTCATTAAAGCCCAATGTTTAGGCTAGTCGATCTAGCGATCTTCATGGATAAAGCTATATTATCGAGATTACCTGCAATCACTTGAGCAACCCCAGCCAAATTGAAGATGCTCTTTCTCCCAATACTCTGGATGCAACATCCGACCAAGGCAGCGAGCACCGTGAACGCCATGATCGCTAATCCAAGGGACAGGAAGAAGTAAGAAGCTTTCCAGCAGCCTGGGAACACACTGGGATCTGTGGCGAACCCGTCCACATTGAAGTTCCCGCAATGAGTCTTTCCATGCAATCTGATGCAACGATTGAAGATGCCGACTGTCGGGACGTACAGCTCCGACCCGTTCCCTGATATCAACGGAAGAATATTATTCGATCTAACATAGTTTTCTATTTCAGAGACGCTAAGATCATGCAACAATACTTGTGTCTTTAATCATCCGCGGGCCGACTAGCCATTTCGGAGTGATCAGGCCGGATAGAACCGCCATCAACGCTGCCAGGGACAGCAGCGTCCATAGCAGACTGCGGCCAGTGATTATCACATAGCACATGCTGCCGATCGATTGTGGATCTATGCCATCCTTCGAGCTAGGAGCCTCCTGAAACATTCCAAGTGAATTACAAGACGCGTTCCCGAAATCTCTGCAGACTCGGAACTCGTCGATATCGCGATTCGGTTAGCTTTCTGGGTCAACGATGTCAACGATCAGGCCGGCCGGAGTTCGGCCAACCGAGCGAGAATAAACGCGACTCACAAATATTTCGGGGAAACGCGTTAAGCACGGTCCCTTTCCCGCGAACCGACATTAAAAGCGGAGCCGTACGCTGGACCGAACCTCTCGCGTTACCGGCTTCGATTTTTCCCTCCGATTTCATGGGAATCGTAAACGCGAGCCAACAAAGCCACTCTTTCTTCCGGTCGCTCGTAAATTCGTACAGTGTCCGGGAAGAAATGTTCGTTTCCCTTCGAATCGAGTACTTTTTAAACAGACTTTTAACCGAACGCAAATGCTCGCCGGCCGAAGAAATGTTCCTGCTCTAGATCGAGCCTCTTGTTTCCTTTCAAATCGACAGTGGTTTACCCTGGCTTGTCAGCCTCTTGACACCTCGCGTAGCTGCTCTTCAGCGTGCGAGACCTCCGCGCGTGGAAGACACTTCTTCCGAGACGCGACCGACAGAATTAATTTCTTGTTCTCGCAATTGTCGTCGTGTCCAAAGAGAGAACCCTTTGCTTTCGATCGGGGACGTGACTCATGCTTCTAATTGGGTCCATTCGCGTCGACCCTTCGCTGGCTCCGCGCGTGGAGGAACTAGGGCCCGGTGGATCGATCGGAAACGCGTGCCCCTCCCCCAAAACTGACCTATTTTTCCGTCTAAGTTTAGACTGATCTAGGTTCGGAATCCGTGGACGACTCGGCGGGCGATGGCTCGTCTTCCCTCCTTCTCCCTCCGCTCGAGAAACCTCGGATCCTCCTCAAGCCCGCAAACTTAATCGCTTTCATTCCTTCGCTCCTTTGATGTTGCCGCGACGTGGCAAATCGGTGGACCACTATATCTCGCGGTCAAAGGGATGGAAAGAAAGTCGGCCTGATTCTTTTCGGTGCTCGATTTATGGTCCTCGAGAGCGAAGGAATTTTTCAGGGGATTTTTATGCAAATCTGGGAACACTTCCTCTCTCGGTCGCCAAATAGAAGAAACCGCGGCTTGTCGTTCCAGTTAATCCATTTCGTTCCTTCGCGCCTCGCAAACGAGCGTTGCTTTGATGTAGCCGCGATGTGGCGAATCGGTTGTGACTTTCGTTGCAAAAAGTCGCGATTCTTTTGAAAGGCTACCATTTATGGTTCTGAAGGACGGAGGGATCTCTCGGGGAACGCGTTTTACCGAACTCTCGGTGTTCCTCTATCCAGCGTCGACTCGCTTTATCTTGTTCGAGATTTTATTACGAATATTAATCTCCGATTTCAACCGAAAGATGCGTCATTCGCGGTGACACCGTCGAGTGGACAAAGCTACGGGCTATCGTCTCGTTTGGAGCGCGTCAAGACAAGTGGGCTCAACGTTAGAACGCGGTTCGATTCACGAAGCAGTCGCGTCCGCTCGAGAGACACGCCGAATAATAATAGCGACGCCCTCGGCTACCACGGGGACCCAAGTTTAATTAAATTCATTCCACGCTGTACATCTGCCGGTCTTATTTTTATCGTTTCTTGCGCGCGACCTCCTCGAGCAACCACTTGACGCTCGGTTTACTTAGGATCGCCGCTTAATCGCTGTTTGTGTTTGCGCTGTCTCCGAACTTCGCTGTCGGATCGAACGAATCACGACCACCGGAAGCGTCGATTCCCCGTGACCCCGGAACTCGATCGATTTCTCACCGAGCATCGAATATTTGTCGTTGAAAAAGAAACGACGCTGATGTAATAGTTTTTTTTTTTATCCACTTGAAGGATCGAATGATTGTACGAGTATCATTAGGTTTTAATAGATCACGATTCCACCGAGTCGTTCGAAGAAGGCCCGACAAGATAAGACCGATCAAAGCTCGCGCGTAGGCCGACTGCCGTTCGACGGCCGCTTTCTTTTTCTCCTCTTCCTCCATTTTAAAACCTTCTGCTCATTGTTGCTGCCTGCCACGCCTTGCTCGTGTGTGCCACCGGGGGACCATTGTTTCGGACCCTCACTGAATTAATTCCCAAAGTTTGATTCGGCCAACGAACGGAACACGGCGCATCGAATCTAATTAGGCTCCTCGGGGCAAGCTTCTACCAGTGACTCAGCCTCGCGATCCTCTATTTTCTCAACTCTTTCAGCTGCCAAGCGAAACGAAATGAATTCGTCATTCATTTTTCACTTTGTTTCTCGGTGATTCCTCGTCTTTTTCGTCCGCGCCGTTCGTGACTTTCGAGTTCTATTGTATCGCGACGCGGATAACTGTACAGGCTAGGCAACGTCGGTGTCCGTTGTAGCAAAGTCTTCGTCGGAGGAATCTTCGTCTCGGGTTACGAAAAGCGGCGGCGTTGGACGGGTTAAACAATGCAATGAAAAGCGAAGGGGATCCTCTCCCGCGCGAGGAAGATCTCGCGCGTCCTCGAAAAGCGTTTCCAGCCTCTCTTCCTCGAGTCTTCGCGGAATGCGATATCTCTCCTCTTCGTCTCTCGGCGTGGTAGCCGCGCGCGCGCGCGAGAATCCCCAACCATTAGTCATCCAGCAATGGGTCCTCTGTCCGGCAGCTCGTTATCAGAAGGGCGTAAGTCGACGGCCAGTGCGAACTCCACGCTCGTAAATTCAAATCACACGTTTCCGGCCAGCGGCGGCCACCGCTTTACGATCCTCCTTTATTTTTCGAGGAGGGAGAGCCTGATTCAGGATCCCTCCGAGCCATCCTATCCTCCTGGAAACCCTTCCGCTCCAGATGGAAGTGATCCTCCTTGTTAGAGTTACGTTTACTTCTATTCTCGGCGTTCCCTCGCGCAGCTTTATCCTCCGTAGTAAAATAACACGCTCGTAACGCTTACTTTTGATGGAATAGTTCGCCCTAGGAGGATTAAGCTTCGAGACTAAGCGATCGACTATTTACGGTTGCCTTTTTTGGGGAAGTAGCATCTTCGCGAAATATAAAAGCTCGAAGACCTAAGGATCTAAGGTTCTAAAGATGTAAACTAAGGACCTTAAGTTCCATAGTTCTAAACGTCTGAAGACCTAAAGTCTTCGCGACTTAGTCTTTCGAGTACAATTTTATCAGAATGTCGACGTTCGTCTGCAAAGGGTTAAGTCGCGAACAAATTTTAATTAGCCAAACAGCAGATCAGCACGTTTCCTTCTATTCATCCAACGTCTGATACATAAATTAGCTTCATGCGCTGAAGATGTTTTTCAAAGAATCTTCGTCCGCGAAGGGTTAAAGTTACCTTTCTTCAGTCATTCTACTCGTAAATAGACTCAAGGAGAACCAGCTGTTCTCGGTCCTTCTGAGGTGAAAAGACGCTAGTCAGAATCCGCGGGATCGCGACAGAAATGATCGGCGTTCGATTTCAGAAACTCGAGACACCTACTCATTGCATAATCCCGCAGCGACTATGCAGACCATCTGCAACGCAGCTGTTGGACAGGTGCTCCCTTGTTTCTCCGTCCTCTTGTTTTCGTCCCCCCCTTTCCCTTAGAGGATCCTCCCGGGCCCACCTTCTTCCCCGGCCTCCCATTCTCCGCAGCTCTCTCGTCCCGTACGCATCGTCGATTTTATCCGACGGTAATTTATCGTGATTTCAGCCGATCGAGCGTTCACCGCGCGGCCGATTAAACATATTTTCGGGAAAACGATTACGCCGGGACGTGCGCGTCCCTCGGACATCCGCGAAACAACGTTGCGCGGCTTGTCCAGGTAACAGAGTATCGCTTCTACTCGCGTTCCAGCTTTTTATCGGCGAAATCGCCGCGTTAAATTCGCTTTTATTCACCGGCGGATTTACAAGTTCGAAGAACGATCCGCGTTCCGGGAACTGCCACGCCTATCCGCCATGAATCTCTTTCGATGGGGCTGCGCGTTCCTTGGCTGAACGTATCCTTTATAAAAACCTCCGAGGTGTTCCTTGAATCGCAACCATCCGCCTCGAAAAAATACCATCTTCTTTCTCATGGAATCTCCGTTCTCCTTCCATGTTTCCGTTAAAACTGTCACGCTTTCCATTGGAGTTACATCAACGCTCGATCAGCCAACGCCGAACTAGCCGTTAGAATAATTGCAATCGCGTACACCTGTGAATCATCGAAGTTCCGCGGCTAGATCGATGAAACGTTATGACATTCGTATGGTAATCGTTAACAAGTTCCCGGATTCACGGACACTTTCGAGCGAATAAAAGGCCACGAGGATTAACAATCGGTACGCGTATCGTCCCCGATCGACAGGAAGCGTACGCTTCAGCGGAATTGCTTCCGAGCGACGCGGGATCCTATTGAACGGCTGCCCCGTGATAACAGTTCGACGCTAGGTCGCCTTTCCAGTGGAACGACCGCCGGGATAATTAAGGTACCACGAGCAAAAGACGAGACGAGCTTAACGGTGATTTCCAGCGCATCCAGCTAGGCCCGGCAATTAAGATAATCGCCGATCGCCGCGCAGTCCGGCTACGCGTCGTCTCCTGGCTCTTCGCCCGGCGCCTCGGACGATCGACGCTTGGAATCCTCGTTGAATATCATAATCTTTCCGGGTTCTCCTTCACCGTTAGGCTTGTTATTATGATAATCGAATTATGAGTCGTCAGTCGAATCTCCCCATAAATGTATAATCAGATTGCATTTCATCCGACTCCGAGTAACACTAGTTTCCAGAGTTCGTAATTTCTCGGGTAGAAAAGTCTCCCGAGATACGTGTCGGACAGCTGTTCGGCTTTAAAGCTGAGCTTGACGACATCGATGAGCCGAACGCACCGGTTTCCTTGATTCGGCGACAGAGATTTTCGAAATTAAGAACGCGCCCGTCGTCGGCTCTCTGTTTCCCTTCGCGTTCCCATCATCGACGTTCTCCGTCCCACCCTTTCCCTCGTCCATTTCCTCCTGCTAGTTCCCGGCTGGTCCCGAGACCAGCATAGCCAGTCGCTGT